TAGTTTCACATTCACGAATGTTGCCAGTATTCTTCTTAGTATACATTAGAGACTTAACGAATGAACATCATTAATTATTAACTAGTCTTTTTCAAATAGTCTTAATCGATGCCTAAAGTAAACTTATGCTATCACAACGAAATCGCTGTTGAAGTTAAGACATCTTTAGATTTTTATTATCTTCTTTACCAAATCTGACTTTAGAATTATATTTTCAAGTGTTAGTTTGCGTGGATCTGATTACTTTCCAGTCTGATCACGAACTGACCTCACAAACCCAGTGTATGGATTCTACTTCTAGTGGAGTCATAGGTGTGTACTGCTGAACAGTCCCAAAACAAGGACAACACAACTATCCAGTACTCCTTGATTTTCAGTGTTTCTCTAACTGACATCAGTTCTAGAATACACTGTGTATAACTGATACTGTCCTAACTATGGGTTTTAGCATTTACTTGATCTTGGATAATGATGGTTAATAGTTTGATTACAATTTTAGCACACTTTAGTTCATTAAAGATAAAATGCTGAACAATAAAAATGATCATTATATATATATAAGTAAGGGGTGGTGGAGAAGTCATCTGTTGGTTATGTCTTAATAGGCCAAGGGAGGGATAACGGCTGTACGAACTTCTTTTGAATGCATAGTTTAGGTTAAATAGTTCAAATGCCTATTGCCTCAACTGTGTGCAGTAGACAAATACGAAGAAGTCTATTGGAAAGATTCGGTGGGATACGATGAATTACTTTGAAAGTTCTCGTTTTCTCCACCATATGACCACTATCAATTAAATGTGACAAAATTGAGCTACGGATTGTTTTTGTCTGTCCTTTGCCAAACCACGATGGGAGATGTTCACTAACAGGTTGGCTAAGCTGTCTAGTAGTACGTCCAATATAACTGTCACCGAAGGTGCAGTTGAATAGATAAATGCACATAGATGTGACAAAACCATCTAGCTTATCCTTCGTTTGCGTCCCAATCATTCGTCGGCTAGAGAATAACAAACATAGGTATGTTGCATATATATATATATATATATATATATATATATATATGGATTGAAATGTCAAGTCAGTGAAATAGAGAAATACTGCTGTACTTATGTCGTCAAAGTTTCTCAAGAAAACATGGGTCAGAAACTTGGAGCGTCACGAAAAGCATTTCGAACAGACTGAAGATTTTTATCGACCGCTGTCTTTGCTCCATGTTGGAGATCAAATGGCCAGAAAGAATTAGCAATAAGAAACTCTGGGAACGAACTAATCAAGAACTTATTGTTCAACAAACATTTTGAAGAAAATACAGATAGATTTAGCACCTGCTGAAGAGACCACTGAATGGTATCGCGAGCTAGGCCATCGCTCGAGTTGAATACAGATGGGAAATGACGGGCTGAGCTTGGGTCTGAGGGTGAAATGGAGGAGATCGTACAAAGAGGAGATGAGGAGCTACAGGTAATCATTGAGCCAGATAGAGAAGACCACAAAGAATAGGACAAAGTGGAGACGTGTTGTTGAAGCCTCATGCTACACTAGGAACTCAAGGGAATAATTATGATATAATAATAGCAACAAGATAATGCGATTTCTTATAATAAAAGATTATGAATAGAGTTAAGAGAACTGTTAATAAAAGTGCTAGTAAACAAATGAAATATTAAGAAATATATTGTGAGTTAAGCTTATTTGGTTAGATATCAGACATATGAAGTATGACGTTTAATAAATGATGATGTAACACTTTATTTTACTCTTGTTTCATTCGAGAAACTTCGATTTTATTAAATATATTAGTACAGCAATAAATTTCGACTCATCTATATACCATGATTATTCTTAATTATTGTTCTACACTTTGTGTTCAATGAACTAAAGTATATTGAAATTTTCAAGAATTCGTTTGTGGGGATAGTATTTGTTTCAAGTTAGAGTACGGATTTACATCAGACAGCTGTTTCATCCTTGTTTGGAAATCATCAGCATTACGCACCCACTGGGTCTCGAACCCACGACCTTCCAGTTACAAGCCAAGCTCGTAGACCATTCAGCCACTGGGACACGATTCAATGGCAAGCCCATCAATTTTGACTTCTACCAATTCGTGATTTAGCGCGACTACCAACCAATGTAATCAGTGGAAACTCCACCCTCACTACTGACTGGATGGAACCCACTGGTCAAAACTTCTTACTAGAACTCCAATCAACTTCTTCGTGTAGCCAGTCACTAGCGAGCATCAGATTAATTTTCAAGAAGTCGTTCGCGGTGGCGCTAAAATCAAGAATTGGTAGAAGTTAAAATTCATGTGATTGCCATTAAATCGGGTCCCATTGGCTCAATGGTATACGAGCTAGGATTGTAACTGGAAAGTCTTGGATTCGAGACCCAGTGGGTGCGTAATTCCGATGAGTCCCAAACTAGGATGAAACAGCTGTCCAGTACTCCCTACTGGTTTTCAATGGTCCTCTAACTGATATATTAAAATTTTAATAAAACTATTAATTTTCACTATTCAAGTTGTATGTAGTTGATAAGATACCGATGAAATAAAATGGATGCGTTCATTCTTATTCTGCGTGTTGTTGGAGGCTTTCTTTTCAAATTTACTAAGCGGAATTTGTGTATAAAATTTACCTCACCTACCAACTAAGTCATTGGAGGTCTTGATGGGTGGTTGATGATTTCCAACAGTGTGATTTCTCTTTCCTATAAAACAAAGTGATACCTTCGAAATATTATTTATAGATTAATTTACATTTCTCGTTGATTGATTGTGTTGGAAGGAAGTGCTTGGGCTCTGCTGACATGCCGGCTCCCAGTACAAACGCTCTTATAAAGGCTAAAGATTAACATGATGCCATTCTGGTTGATGGTAACCAGCAGTGGAATTCAGGATGCGTATTTCGTTCTACTTGGGACTTGTCAAATGAAAATACCTGCATTCCATAGTGAGCGATGCTGTTCCCACCGACAGGTGTCCGTACTAGGAGCCGGCATGTTAACAGAGACTGAGCATTTCAGTTCAAAATAACCAATCAACGGGCACTTTAATTAAACTTACAAACGAATAATAACTGAAACCCATTGCGTAACAGGTGGCTGTCGTGGTCTAAGTGGTCTAGCGGATAATGACCTGGCACTTGAAACGACAGGTGCGGGGGTTCGAGTCACACTGGGAATTCCATTACTCAGTAGGAATACAGATACGTGCAAATGACGATTCTTTAACAGTGAGAAGCACCCATCGTGAATTCCACTGCGAGTCACCATCAACCCAAATAAAATCCAGGTATCATTAGAACATGAAAAATAAATTTGAAGTAATAATAACCCCCTCTAAATGTAGTTCATTTACAGTAATTACAACTGGTATTTTCGTATAAAGCTGATAAATTTCAAAGTATGTTTCATCAAAATGTACACTGAGTCGAAGACTAATCAAAACAAAGAATCATCAGTCAAACGTATCGCAATTGTTTGAGACTCATTAGTAGTACTCACCTTATGTCTTTAGGAAATCATCCCCCCCCCTTTCACTTACTTTTCTAAGGAGAATTATTTCAACTATAGACGGCGCAGATTCTCCAATACTAATGTCAGTCACTATTTCTATATGGTTCGTAGACTTTGCGCGCGTGTCACGAAAAGCATTTCTAACAAGCTACTGAAAAATGCCATCAGCCGCAGTCCAACGAACTCCCCAATGAAGATTGGATGGTCGGCTAACTGGAAAGGATAAATAACAAGGAACTCTGGCAATAAACCAACCCAAAACCTATTGCCTAACAAATATGCACAAGGAAATGGAACCCAAATGGGAAGCCAAGAGTTGGGAGTCCCAGGATTAAATGAAGTGAGTTGGAAACGACAGATCGCTGACGACCGTAAGGCCAATTAAAAAGAAAGACTGTTGTGAAGAGAGTGAAATGGAAGTGTGCTAATGAAGCCACTGTGTTCCTTGAGGAACACAAAGGAATAATAATAATTCACTTCAGAGTGACCATATCAAATCGATATCATTTCGTAATGGTGAGTATTTTGAAATATAATCCTAACTACTGACATGTTTCGAGACAGATTTCTGGAACTTTTAATAAGAACATATTACAGTTGAAGTGAATCAAGTTAAGAATATGAAAATTCAGTCATCAGTGACAGTCTCAATAAATTATGAGTTGACAAGATTTGAAGGTGCCTAGTACTTAATTTCAAAATAATTACTGAAGAACGAACTGCTTACAGTAAAGTACAACTATCCTTAAATTAACTTCTATGAGGACAGGAGGCAATAGCTTCCGCTGTTTCTTTATTTTCAACGATTTTATAACTGACTTTGATACCTACTGAAGTATTTTTTTAGTTGTACTTATTCATTGGGAGGTAGTAAATGCAGAATTTGGATAAATATTTTGAGTGCATTGTTTGAAATCACCTGTGGTTTCAAGATTGATTTCACCACATGGTGATATCGGATAGAAAATTAAGGAGTGTAGGATACATTTCCATAACCTAGTTTTATACTCTTCAACACCGTGCACTCACAAAAGTACCACTAGTTGGAATTGGTATTTTCAGTTTACCAGATTACGTAGTCAATCTTCGAATCTATTTATTCATGACTCTAAAGCTTTGCTAATTAGGAATATAGTGCACCCCTATCCAGTTGCATCAGTCAGTAACCATGCAGCTTGGTTGACCGATCACAATTACTAATTACAACTATTAGGGATCTATCTCGAAGCTAGATATTAGTGCGAATAGGAAATACAGGAAAATTCCCATTGGATAACGTAAATTAAAATTTCCCTACCACTCTCCTGCTTGAAAACAATAAAATTTCTAGCCGTTTATGCCCAAAACACGCGTCGGTTTTTGATTGGCTGAAACAGTCTGACTGATTTTTATTTTATCCAATCAAAATCAACACGATTCAAATTATGCTAGAAATCGTTCGTATTTAAGCCTGTTCGTTGAAATATTTCTCAGTAAAACATTGTGTTAAACATCTCTCCAAAATTATGTCGTCAAATTGTGTAAACAATCTACCTCCATTTCAAAGAACATCTTCAATCAAACGAAAACGTAATCAAACAATAAAGTCACTCAAAGGATTACGTAAACATACTGGAGATAGAGTACATTTAAAAACATCACAAAATAATCGTCATTTAAAACCACATCAGATAGAATGTGAACGACTCAAAGAAATTTTGCCAACTGTTGCAAACTGTGAAAAATTAGATGAAGTAAGTTATCTCACATGTTTTATATATTTATAGTATAATTTATACTTTTATAATTTATAATTCATGTATGTGGCTTCACTAAATCATAAGCAGAACTGTATAAAGTGTGTTTTATTAAAAATCATAGTATATATTCGACTGCCAGAAGTGCCATCGATGATACAGGCCATTTGTAATTAAAGGAGTGAGTAATGAAGATGGGGTGAGCAGGCAAAAAATGCGAAACAGAAAGCTTTAGACGAACGATTCACTAGTCTACTGTGTATGCTACTCAGTTTCATCTTTCTCAAATAATAATTAATTCACGTTTTTGATAACGAAAGTGGTCTTTTTACAGTAATGATGGCTCAGATTGTTTCTGTCAGTATCTGTCAGTTAGTTTGGTATTAGATGGTTGGAGGCAATCGGCAAGAAGCCTTGCTCAATCTAGGTTTCGTGCTAGTTAGCACTCGTCAGCAAGGCGTATCTGTAACCTTGAAGGAAGTCGTCTCCCTTCTGACATTTGAACTCGCGTCACACAGTGCTACAGGCATAGACGTAACCACTGACCGACTCGGGCTGCTTTAGGGTTGTATTGGATATTTTTGATTGAACACTAGTCAGTAACTAGCGTAATGTGTCTAGTCTGTCAGTTAGTTAATTGAACCATTCAGTATACAACAGAGCGATCATATAGTACCGGTGTGTGTGTGTGAGTGTTGGGTTCGTGTTTTACATAGTTACATCGACACTTTCATCATTCTGCTGGTGTTGTTTGCATTCTGTTCTAATTTTAATTGGTCCTGAATGATTTCATGAAATGTTTAAGCTGGAGAATACAAAAGTATTATGCTTCAAAAAAAAAATATATTTCGCATTCAAAAGTATTAACAGTGATCGATCTCATTACCTTCATAGATGACTGAGTAAAAACTCATGACCACTGATCATTTTTATTTAGATACCAGTAAATATTAACGGTACCTCAGTGGTTCAAGGATATAATTCTTGTCAGCCACTCAGGAGTTCAATTCCAGACTGACTCCTAAACCTCGAATAGTTTACTAGATGGTAGTATGTTCAAAAAAGATAGAAGGATGGGCTTAAGGTTAACGATCTCCCACCGTAAAAGAATAGCACTACTACTGAAATTTTGAAGCCTGAAGCTTTATGTTCCACTCAGGACTCAAAGGAATAATCCTATCCTGATCTTGTTAATAACTATTCAACCGTTATGTCTTAACAATACTACAAAAGACGTCCAAGGTTAAAAATAAAAACAGCATTATTATATCTAGTCAATGAATTGAAATCAACTGATCCACACATTTTAACTCTAGTTATCTAGACACATTTTATATATCCATTCTTACTTCTGAATAATTCATTGTCACTGTAGTATTCTACTGACTATTCTCCTTCCTATCTGAAATCATTTCATGACGAATAATATTTCCGAATTAATCCATTTTTTCCCCTCTGTAAACTAATCAGGCGAAAAATATACTTGTCTTTAAAGTCACGTTCGTGTAGATAAAACATTAATGTGATATGTCACGTTTCATACATTCAAATCTTCGGTTACTTTTTGTTTTGACTGTTATTGTTGTCTTTCTTTGTTTTTGTTAAGCCTATCTATTCATGTCGCACAATTGACAGCTTCTTAATGGCATACATACTCTTTGTTATATGTTATATTCTATTTATTCTATTTATGTGGACAAAATTAAGTTTGATTTTATTTACACTTTGAAAAATCAGGAGTTAAACACGTTATGACTAAGACAGAGTGGTCTACAACACAATCACAATGATTATGATTAATTTTCGCAGTGGTCTAATTCTACCTGATAGATTCACCTGATAAAAGTACGCCTAAGTATCATAAGCGTATATATTATTATAATTATTTCTTTACATTCCCAGTGGAACAATAGGGCTTCAAGGTAGAAGCTTGAAGTTTTGGTAGCAGTGGTGTCTAGCCTCATACCCAAACTCCCTTGTTTACCGGTCTTATTACTGGCTTACCTAAGTAAAGGAGTGCGTCGGCCGGGGATCGAACCTCGGACCATATGCGTGATCAGCGAGCATTCTACCGCTATGCCACTGACGCTTAAGGGTGTATAATTCACTAAAATTATCATTCTGGAAGTTAGTTTGTGTTACCATCGGGCAGTTGAAGTATCTCCACAATTCTTGACGATATCAATATGAATCACAATTCATAAACTTTACATCCGAATTCATCTTCTGTAGAGATTGATTACTTCACAAATACACAAACCAATTGTTATAAAACCAACCTAATCTTTTATTTTCTTTTATAAAAAACAGGTGAAAATTATTCAAGAAGCAATTAAACATATAAATTATCTGGAACAGGCTGTACTTCAGCGATTAAATATTGTGAATACACAGACAACAATAGAAAACAGTAAGTTTTATTTCGATTATTTTTATTCATTGGAATATTGATTATCTAAATACTTCTTTATTAAACACTCAGATATTAGAGGATTTATAAATGTCAAAAAAGGCAAATTAAGTAGGCGGCATAGATTACCACTCCCTATGAGATAGAATCAACTACTAAGTATCACTGTTTCCTTTAATTCCTAGAGGAACATAGGGCTTCAGCCGTGCGTCTCCATTGCGTTCGGTTCTCTGCTAGAGTTTTCACCTGGCTCCAAGTCTGCCCACATGCTTTCATCTCCTCTTCACATGACCTCCTCCAAGTCACCCTTGCACTGACGACCAACTCGCCGATCTAGTGATGTCACTTGATGGTTTCCTCAGAGTATGGCCAATCCATCTCCATTTCTTCCTGCCTATTTGTTTCACAATCGGTTCCTGGTTGGTTCGCTCCCAGAGGTCCATCCCTGTTGCTGATCTTTTCTGGCCATCTGATCTTGAGTATTGAGCGAAGACAACTGTTGATGAAGGTGTGTAGTTCGTTAATGCTCTTTATTCTGATCGTTCTATTCAAATTGAGTTGAAAATCCTGATCTTATTTTTCATTCTGAGTGCTGTTGACCTTCACACAGACTTGAGAGTAGTGAAAGCTTGTCTTGCTTTTCCGATTCTTGCTTTGATATCCTCGTCAGTTCCGCCTGTAGTTGAAACGATGCTTCCCAGGTAGGTGGGTGAAGGAGGTTGTTTCTTTCAGGTTCCTTCCATTTATGCTGATTGTTGTCTGTTGTTGTTGTTGCTGTTGGTGGTGTTGCCCAGGAATCTTCATCACCTTACTTCATGATGGCGTAATCAAGGTCTAATTACGTTGATAGGTGGTGGAATTCAATTCTAGTGTGAGTACCTTGAATACAGAAAACATAGACCATTACATCTTTCAGTGACACTTGTTACTTCAACAGTCAATTATAACTGTAGGCTACTTCAGAGGTGAAATTACAAAGACGCTACAACAATCCAATCAATATTCACTCACTAGTTTTCAGTGTTTTAACCAGTCACGTGATTGACAGTCACTAAATCAAAGAATGATTATTTGAATCTAGAGTAATCTCTTCTATTAAAACCTGGAAATATGACGTTTCAGTCTGCCAACTGTGAAAAGTAAACACAACAACATCAGCTTAGCAACTAATTATTTAAACTCAGAGTTTATCTTTCTTAATAATACTGAACATATGCTTTATTCACACATCATTTTACTTGGCATTACTCTCTAAGGCTGCATACAGATATGTACAAAACATGTGTGCTCACTCAATAAACAAACCTGTGATTTACACAAGTTCATTTTGGACATATGGAATAATTCTCAACAACAAAATTAACCGTTTAATCAATTCCTCTAACCCCTCATACTCATCCACCTGTTTACATGTAAACTTAGTTATTGTAGCCTAGGGCTTAATCTCATTAGAATAGGTAGTGTAGAATTTTCTTATCTTCACCATACCTTCATTTTAACAAAACGCATGAAAGACGTTCATGATGTGAAGATATATATATATGTATGCATATTGTGCTGACTGATAGAGTGCTGTTTGAGATTCGTCATCTGAATGTACCTCTATTCCCAGGGAGTGATTGTGTTTCCACCCTGACGCTCCAACCAAGCAACACATAGTTTCAAATGCAAAAGCGTTTGAGGCTCAGTGGAAATACTGCTAGTCAGCGTTAATCTCATTAACACCATGTTATTCCTATGACATGGTTAACCTGCCAGTACTACTAGCCAAAAATGTCAAAAGAGACAGAGCATAGTCATCCAATGGGAATTGCAAATAAACTGGATAGATGATTTCAGATTTGGTTGGAGGATTTCATCATGAGCTGACATCAGTTAGAGAACCATTGAAAAACCAGCTGGGAGTACTGAACAGTACTGGTCCATAGCAGGCAGTTAACCTGGGGTTCTAGTGGGAAGCTGTGACCAATAGGGTGCAACAGGTTGAAGGTGAGGCAGTAACTCATCGAAGAAGACATTGCGAAGTGGTCGCGCTATGTCATGAATTGGCAGAAGTTAGAATTCATGAAATGGCCATTGTGGAATCGGGTACCAGTGGTTTAAAGGTCTCCGAGCTCATCTTGCAACCAGGTCCTGGGTTCGAACCTCGGTGGGTGCGTACTCCCGAAGAGTCCCAAACAGGGATGAAACAGCTTTCCAGTACTCCTAGGTTTTCCAACGGTTCTATAACCAATGTCAGGTCATTATGAAATCCTCCAGTCAATCAAAATGAAATCCCTACAAAACCAATACTTGTAAATTCAGATTTATGGAAACATACTGATGAAAACAAAAGTATTATTTGACTAGCTTTTGAAGACTTTTGACAATAAAATCGATACCGATAACGAACACACATCCATGTAATCGAAACTAGTCCCACTTATATGTCAGTTTCAGTTATAACAAACTTAGCTTTCGTTCAAATCATATAATAATTTCTCTATATATATTTATTATTATTATTCTATAATTTTTTCTTTCTTATTTTATAAAGGTATTTCAAATTCATCTTCCTTGCTACCAGCATTCATTTTCAAATTATTATCCAGTCGAAATAATCCCTCCCAGTCAACACCCGAAAAGAATCAACCAATGCATACACCTCATACTGATCCTAATTATAAAAATCAATTTATCAGGAATAACAGTGATACAAACTATCAAAACAACAACAACAACATTTTATCAAATATGTATGATGATGTGTTGAATTCCAGTGGAAGTACACCATACCAGACTGATGAGGATATCGACCAAATGAATTAACAAATATTTTGATGTTTTGATATAACTGTACAGAAATTCAAATTTTTAGAACACTGGCGCCTTGTAAATAAAATGGCTAATACTTAAACAATTAAAACAATTAAATTGTATATATATTATTGTATATAGTGGTATATATAATTTTTTTGAATCAAACAATTAAAAGAGATTTTCATGAATATCCAATAGCCTTTTTCTTTAAATTGAAATCAGGTTATATTAGTCAATGTCTTTGTCTGTATTCTGCCTTTCTAATGGTACATCTGTGTTAACTCTCTCCAGTGTAACTCTTATTCGGTGTAAATTGATTTGGACAAAGCGGATAGACTTTGTATAAATACTAACACTTGAAAATTGCTCCAATGCTTACTTGTATCGAAGTTTCCAGAAGTCCTAGTGAGAAGTCGTGACCGGTGGGGTCCCCTAAGTTACGTATGAGAACAAATTTTCACCGATGGCTAGTGGTTGCGTTACATGCTGTAAATCGGCGGAATTTAGGATTGATGGATCACTGGATTCCATCCTAGTAACTGAATAATCAACAGATATGGCTCGTAAGTTGAAGGTCCAGGTTTTGTTCTTCAGTAGCGTCTTGGTTGGATCATGCCGAATAATCCTAAACTACATCGAACCATCTAACCAGTATCCCCTGGTCTCTAACTTATGTCATTTTGTAGTCTAACTTGCATATTATGCTATTTGTTGCAATTAAAGAGGAGTGTCAAGCACAAACTCTCCATCATCACCTTTCTGAGGGCGAAAATTATTTCGTTGTTAGCCTTATCTTTTTCAAGAATTTTCATCAAGCTATAATCATGAGAATTCATTCAGCTTTATTCCACTTTCCTGGACGTATGCTGTATCCCTAAGCCATGATCATTTCTTGTTTTTCGAACTTTTTATGAATATTGAGCGACTAAATAAAATACCCCTAATTTGAATTAGTCTCATTAGGATACGACTGAAAACATAGCATATTGAATTAAGTAGGCTACACATGCTGACATAAAATCATGAAAGTGCAAATATATACGTTGAACTTCAAAATCTGCCGTCTACATATATGTATCAAGTAATATTTACTCCTACAGAAGGACTCTGCCGGTATTATTAGTGTCAATGTCTTACCATGACTTATAAACACCCTTCCAGTATTTTGTCTTTTCCAGTGGATTGGTTTTACAGTGATATTGCATATTACACTCACTTGACAAGGTGTCAAGTAAAGTCGATGCGTTTCAACCTGTTAATGTTATTGAAAGATAAATAATCACATGCTTTTGATGAGGAAGATAGCTCCAAAAAAGTTAGTCGTTGAACCAAAACTGAGATCTAGTCATTCTCTGAATGTGACAGTCTACTTTCTCTGATACAGAGCTCCTACTAGGTGTAAATACAACCAAACATTTCCTATTGAAATTCGTTCACCAACTTTACAGATGTGAGCATTGTAGCATAATTCCAGCTAGGTTTAAGTGAACAGTCAAAAGTTTGACGAAAATATATAATCTTCAAATAAAGATACGCAGCAAATTTTTATAATAATAAAGAGTCTCAAACTAGGACGAAACAGCTTTCCAGTACTTCCAGCTTTTTCAGTGGTTCTCTAACCGATTTCAGCTCATGATTTAATCCTCTAACCAATCAAAACGAAATCCCTACAAACCAATACTTGAAAATAATAACAATAGTTTGAATTAAGCTGATGATCTGTGCGGCTTCATTATCTAGCACATACAACTGTGGAATACTAGTTTTGTCCATTCCTTTCAGGAATAAAAACACTAAATCCAGAGTTAATTGCCTCTATGTAAATCAGAAAAGTTAAACTATTTCATCGTTGGTCAGTTGAACCTTGAAATCAATAAGCGACACTTCACCTACCTTGAGTTTTTGAGAATATTCTAGCAATTTCCTCGTTACCATCTTTATGGGACCATCTAGCTTAAAAGTGATGTTCTACCTGTGAATTTCAACATGTTTTAAAGAAGTAATTACCTCATTTTCGGGGTTATCAAAAATCTGTGATGATTATTACAAACATATTTATGTGGATATACAACTTTTTTTCAGAATAAAGCAGTCGAAAATTGAAACTTGAATAATGGATTGGTACCTCTACGGAGTCATGGGTGAGTAATGGATACCGCTGAAGAGTCCCAAGCTAGGACGAAACTGCCCCCTGGTATTAAGTGGTTCTCTAACTGAAGTCAGTTCATGTTGTAGTTTGAAATCAAATCCCTGTAAACCAATACTTGAAAACAAATTGTATGTCTTCCAAACGTACAGTGTTTCCATTGGTTAAGCTCTGAAGTTTTGGGTCGAAGACGATTATTTTGTGGAAGGAGATCGATATGATGAAACATTTGTCGTTATTCCCTTTAAAAAGAACAGTGACTTAATGATATAGCATAGAAACACAACGGTTAAGTAAGCAACAAAGTCTTAAATTAACTCGTATTACTTCACTAAGACACTTGTATCTCCCAACGGTTAAAAGACACAACACTGAATAAGCGTGGATAGTTAAAAGATACTATGTGCAAATAAATTTATTTTAAAATAATGGTTATTGAACAAAGAATGCTCTTTTCGATAACTTCATCATCAGCTTCTACAGTTATACATACATAATAGTAGTGAATGAATTAGTGTTATGAACAACATTAATGCTGTTTAAATAACATCGAATCAATAATAATAATGATATCAATGGATTACAGTTCGACAGCATCAACATAACACCGCACACTGAATATCGAAGAAATTAGAAAAGATAATAATACAAATTCATGAATTTATAGTCTCTACTGAAGGCCGACTAAAGCAGTAGTAGTGGCCGAACTTACTTCTTTTGCACACAAAGCACTGGTTGTTTGAAAATAGCTATCCCGACAAATTTATCAAGAAACACATGACGAAGAAAGCGGAAAAGGACTACTCACTATCCGTAAACAAGAAGCCTTAATACATACGACTGCAATTCAAGGGTGATATACCTAGCGAAATAATTACGAAGAAATTAAGAAAATCAGTTCAAAGAACTTTTAATGCTGGCAAACTACAAGTCTTATTTTCTACACGACCGATGGTGATTCCTCGATTGAAAGATGAAGTACCTAGACTAGCCACTTCTAATTGTATTTACCAATTCAACTGCTCTTGTGGAACGAGTTATATTGGCCGTGCTCGAGAACATCTCCCAGTATGGCTAAGTAAAGGTGTAGTAAAAATTATCAACAGTTCGATATTAGACCATCTGGTCAAAACTGGCCACAAAACATTGAAGAATCCTTCTCTATCATCTACCGAGTACCAAATAAATTGCCAAAAACATCGAGGTACCACATGCTCCAAACAGCAGAGGCTATCGCGATTCGCGTGAAACAACCAGTGCTTTGTGTGCAAAAGAAGTAAGTCCAGCCACTACTACTGCCCTGACCAGCCTTCAGTAGAGACTAGAAATTCATGAATTTGTATTATTATCTTTCCTAATTTCTTTGATATTCATTGTGCGGTGTTATGTTGATGCTATCGAACTATAATCCATTGATATTATTATTATTGATTCGATGTTATTTAAACAACATTAATGTTGTTCATAACACTAATTCATTCATTCACTACTATTATGTATATATAACTGTAGAGCCTGATAATGAAGTTATCGAAAAGAGTATTCTTTGTTCAGTAACCATTCTTTTGAAAATTTATTTTAATTAAATAATAATCAGATCGACTAATTTCCTTTTGTATTCATGAGAATGCCTGAAACTTGGGATGTGAATTTTGAGTAAAGAGTATTCTTAAATCAGGCAATCAGTTATAAGAAGAGAATTTGGTCATTGTTTTTTGTCTTCCTTTACGTTTCCAGTGGAACAAAGGGCTTCAAGCTATAGCTTTGAAGTTTCGGTAGCAGTTGTGTTCCTTTTACAGGGTGGGGTTGCTAATCTTGTGAGTAAACTTCCCTCTTTACCAGTCTTATCTGCTTACCAAGGTAAAAGAGTGGACCACGGCGGACCACACGCGTGGTTGGCGAGCATTCTACCGCTAAGCCACCGACATACATTTGGGCATTGTGGTTGAGTGTAATTCCATAATAGAGTAATTCTGTTTGACAAAACACAGTTATATACTATTATTTATTCACTGACAACCTTTCCAGCCCGATTTATAGCTCATAATCATATCACGTTCACATATCGCATTCACATAATTTTCAAACTTTGCTTATATACTTCCATTTTATTGGTTTTATCGGTAGTAATATTTTCTATAATCCCTAGTACCGGAGTTGTATCATTCCTGTTGCAAGTGTTTCGTGTAGATTCGATGAACAAAGATTCGCTGGTCAAATACTTCTCCCTCCACCTACCTACATTATTTTTTAGAAATGTAACTCTGTCCACACTGTGTTGTGCGATTGTGCGTTAGTCAGTTCATCCACTGCGTTTGCTGAGTGTTTTTCTTAAAGGCAGTCATCTTTCTGGAGTGCGTTATTCTACACTTAACTAACCTAACTGACAGATTAACTAATGCGATAAGATGTAGTATATGAATTAAAATATTTTTCAAATGGATGCATACATATTGATTGATCCCATATATCACTGACAAACAACTGAAGAATGTCAGTATATTGGTTACATCTCTATACTTCTGAATTTACCAGAGCAACACTTTTGAATATATATATTCAGTCAACACAGCAGTGCATGCGACTTCTTAATCTCAATCAGTGTTTGTCTTTTAAATTCCTGTCTAAAATTAATCACATATACGAAAATAATAACATAAAACAATGTCTGTTATGCATCATCCCTTTAATCAATTCCCTGATCAATTTTCAAGGTTTCATGTCAAGGGAATCAATGCATTATAACAATTCTTCATAATTTAGTTTTATAATTTTAGCATGAATGAAGGAATGTTACATACTACTAACAGGTTAATATAATCACAAAACTAACTATCCGACTAATCAGGTCACAATATGGTTTATGCCTTATAAAAAGTGAAAAAGTCCATTCGGTGAACTGTTGCATTGATGTGTGTTTAACAATCGACCTAAGTTGAATATTTATCAAATGAACTTAATCTTTGTATTATCTATATTCACAGTGGTTCAAGCTGGGAAAATCAAGTATGAATCACTAGACTGACATTACTGTGTATGTGTGT